ATTTGCTCACGGTGTATATGTGGTTTGAGATTTCAAGGCAATTATATTTTCTCGAGTCGTTGCCTTTGACTATCGAAATTTAATTAAATTTTAAATATCTTTCGATTTAAATGTGTTGCCTTTTGTTTGTTCGTTCATTCGTTCGTTAGCAACGTTTGCATGGCAAAAGTATTTCAAACAACCAAATGAAATCAACTACCGGCCACGCGTTCATCACATCATTTGGCCGTAAACAAATGTGAAACACAACAAATTTTGATAGGAAACATGTTTTCACCGCAAAACTTTTCATTCTATAGTTAAATGGTCGACGAAAAGCGTAATGTGAATATGAGTTTATTGAAAAACTGAACTATCACAACGCAACCACTGCTATCAACAACACATTGAATGTGTATACGGTATAGTGAAAAGAATGCGATGATAAATTGAATGTTTTCATTTCAATGAAAATATGCTTTAGCATGTGTTCGATGCTTGTACGTATCGCACTCACCAGCACCACCACATTATGCTACTTAACAATGGCAGCGATGAGACCAGAAACATCAACATCATGATTTGGTATGCGTTTGCAATTTATTTCGTTATTCGCGTAATCCATCATGTAGCAGGCATTTTAATTTTGATTATAAAACTTATTCCATTTTAAAATTTCCATTTTTCCCAACGCTAGCACACCCGTTGACAGACAGACAGTGAACACGATATATGTACTGGTATATTGCACGCAGACAATTGCAAAAGGCCAACCAAATAGGGCGAAGCTGATTTGAATCTACGAGTCATTGTGCACTGCTTATAAAATGTTAAATATCAAAACGGAAGTGTCGGCTCGGCGTGGAAAAATATGAAAATGAAAAATGTAGCTGGATTCCTTTTCTTTGTACTATGTTCCTCTTCTTTACTCTCTTCAACACATTTGCTCTCTGTTCTCTATGGTATATAGGCTTTCAAAGTTGTAAAAGTTTCTTTCCGTGTTTTTTCCGTTTTTCTGTGAATTTCAAAGACAAGCAACAACAAAACGATGGTGAACGTGAACACATACATTATTTAAAAACTATACACGCACGTTCCTTATTGCCTTGCGATGCCTTTTACATGTGAATATCGAATGAATGCACATCGTATCGGAGCAAACACATTCATATGTATGAATTAATACCAAATGCGATGCCATAATATTAAACACACACAAACACACATTCAGACTTTATTTCGAAAAGTTTTCTTATTTCTTTCGCTTTGCACGCACGCAACATCAAATAGCAGAAAAATTAAATGCAAGAAGGAAAAATGAAGGACCTTTCATTTTTCCATACTGATTATTTATGGCGGCAGCTCGGTAACAGCACGTAAAGTTATTTGCGTTGATGGTAACAATCTCACTTAGATATAAACTTCACCAGTTGCTCACACATACAAGTGCCATGTATTAATATATTTTTTATGAGTTTTCACAATAAAATTCTAATTTATTACGCATTTTTTTTGCAATCATGTGTTAAAAAGTGAAAATTCATGCCAAAGACTAAATGATACGAGTTTATAACAAATCATATGTTAAATTGGAGCGCTCAAAATTACTGACACCAACAATATTTTCATTGATGCTAACATAATTTCTCTTTATTTTTCAGCGATCAACTTCATTTAATATAAATACTTTTACGGCGAACAATAAATTAATTCTCGTTGAAATACAAATAAATATTTGAACAACTTCAAAATCATTTTGTGTATGTTTCAAAACCGTTTTTTAGTTTTCTTTGGAGCTGGAGTTATGTTGAATGCACAATATGAAGCAATGTTTCAATTTAGAATATAGAGAAACGAATTGAAGTACTAAAAATGAATAAATTCTTTCGGAGCCATCTAGTTTAGTGATGCTTGTGCGATCGAAAGATTTGAGTGTTGTAATTATGGTATAAGCCAGTTTTTTTAGCGATAGCACAGTAATTCAGTTCAGTATATGTATATGTGTTGTTGTTTTTTGCACGTTATTTGTGAATAAGTATTTAATATTTTATTGATGTGTTTGACTGAAGCTGAAAAGTAAGAGTACAAGTAGGTAGTAGACTAATGTGGAGTATGAATGTACCGATATTCGTTTAGCTGATGCCATAATGATGCCTTCGTTTCATTGCTGTAACATTTTATTACTATTATTTGTGCTGTTTCAGCCAAGTCGCGCCGCGCCACTCATGTATAGCAAATCCCGGAGAGAGAAAGGAAAAATTCTATTCGTTTGCATCGACATCATCATTCAGCAGTGAAGTAGACGACGACGACGACGATGTTGTCGTCTTAGTTTTGACACTGTCGTCATATATTTTCATCTCATTCGCTCTTTCTTCGAGAATGTTTGAATTGAGATATGAATAGAAAATTGCTACCATAAACATATTTGGCTTGGCCTCTTCCTTTACGCTCGAACGCAATTTGCTGTGAACAGCACAACCGAAAACATTATAAATCATTTTGGAACTTTTTCTACGTTTTTTTCCCAATTCAATGTTTCAGTTCTTGCCTTTTTTTCTTGTTTCTCCGTCTTCTACTCAATTTCATTCCAGACTTCTTTTTCTGCCAGCTCGTAAACTTGTGATGTAAACGTTTTCTATTTATTTTTTCCATCGCTTTCTGTCGATGTGATTGCCGCATTGAGAAAGCGAGGGAGAGAGTGAGTGAAAGAGGGAACGAACGAATGTGCATTGACTTGGTGGCTTGGAATATTTCGCGCGAGCAAAATTAATGGCGAGAACAATTTGGTTCGGCATGTTTCTATTCAATCTTCGAGGCGCTGTGAATGTGGGGTCGCATGCTTGCGCATTTTACTGTCGTTTTTGGATCGGTGTGTTGGCGGCGACGCGTAATTTTTATTTGACTCGGAAAACTTTCTTATTCTTTGTTTATTAAGATTATTACTGTGTGCCTATTTCCTTATTGCATTTAAATTCTAATTTTCATGCGATGGATCAGCGGCTGTGTGGTGGTGTCTTTTTTCCGGTCTACATTCAAACAACCAAAATAGCGAAAGAGCACAGCAAAGTTTCCATCGGCAAGAGTCAACATGAGATTTATATTGAAATACAAAACGAACGCGCCTAAATGTTCAATTATAATTAATTTAGCTTTAAATTTTTTAGCGGACGCTGCAATTTTCCTATTGGCTCGACTCAGTTTATTGGCGTTGAGTTGGTTTTGTTTGTTGTTCGTAATGAAGGAAATCAAATTTCATAATTTTTTCCGATTTAATAAAATTGTTAATTTGTCAAACAAGGGACGATCCCTCAGAAAATTATACACGCACAAATTGGCTTTCACTAAATAATGAGTGTACCAAAAATTTGAAAAATGGCAAGTTATTGGCAAAAACAAAAAAAAAACATGCCAACATCAAATTTCATTTATCAGTGGTAGCTGGAAGAAGTTCAAATTAGATAGAAAGATGGGTCGTGTGCCTTTCATATGCAAAGAGAAGGCAATTATCTGAAAAAATGCAATTTCGTGAACGGACTAAAAAAGTATTTATTAAATTGAAATATTTTAATTTGTTCATGTTGCAAAAAAAGCATATGCTGTATATCTAATACAGGGTCTATAACAATGAGATTAATGAAAAAAAAAAACGACTGACTGAGTATTCAGTTGAAAGCAAATTGAGATAAATTTCCAGCACATGGTATGCAAAACATTAAGTCCATTCAAAATTAAACTATTAAAACAGATGAGCAAAAAATTACGAACAAAAGTTCGCATTTCATCGTTCTCTCATGTAGATTCTCGCAAAGTTCTCCGAGCAAAATTCACTTGAGTGGAAAAAAAACTAAATGTGAAAATGAAAACGGGAACATTTTCCGTGCAACCAAAAACGTCTAGCAATGATGAATACGAATTTCATATGTGTAGAAACTAACAACTCGTAGTTTTAATCTGTTCATTTCAAATGATATTCCTCTTTTATCGGTAGTTATGCGACCCATATTTTAGTTTCGTTCTGTGCGAACGCACTGAAAGATAGATTTCATTTTCCGTTGCTTTGCCTAAGCGATTCATAAAACTAATTGATGTATAATAACATACAACACATATATAGCAATGCCAAAGTTATTTTGCGTCTCTTTTGTTAAAAAAATATGAATCTTTTGTTTCGTCATCATTTCCCATCCAATTATTTGCATGACTGAACAACTAATTTTGAAACTTCATCGAATGCATTGCAATGTTTCGGTCTCGGCTTAAACTTCAAAAGCAATGTAAATAAAATGAAATGCGCATCGGAAAGTATTTTAAGCCGATTCTATTTATTCTTATCTATTGTAAACATTTTGACCGAAGTTTAAATGACCATGAGGCTTTCTATGTTTCCACTCATTCGTACAATATTCATGAACTCATTAAGAATAACTGATTTGTAATAGGATTGGATTCTTTCCTTTTAATAGCATTTTTAAATTCATTGTCTTGTAAAATCAAATCCAAAAATAATTCCAAATGGTAATGTAGTAACATTTAGTGAATTCTATTCAAAAATTTATGAAGTAACAAAAAAAAATTAAATTTGTATGGTTTACAAAATGGTTGGAATAATTTATCAGCCTAAATTCAATTTGTAGCATTAATGGAAAAAGACACAAGGTAAATATTTCATTTGCATCTACAATCGTTTTTTTTTTTTTGTATTAATTTGCCGCTTTATTTAAATAAACTTGGGTTGAAAGCATATTTCCCCGAAATTGGTTGACATTTTATGGTACTACATACATTTTGTTCCGGTTGAATTCACTTTCATTTAAAGTTCAAGTAATAAATAATCGAAAATTTATGCTGCAGATTTTCTTGGGTTTTTTTGAGTCTGGATCTGCAGCAAAACGACACGAGCTCCGCCCGTAACGAGGAAGAGTTGAGTTTGTTTTCAATAGCGGCACATCGATTGCAATCGAAACGCTTGCTTGAGAGTCAATACCATGAAACAGTTGCTGCAAACATTCAATACTTACAGCTGAAACGAGAAGAAAAATAAAAGAAAAAAGAATTCCATTTATTAGAAGAGAATGTAATAGAACAGTCTGGATAAAAAAAATAGTATATTTGGGTATCTCTCGGTATGTTTTCTAGCGTATTTTTCATTGTTTTTCACTTTACTTTTTTGATGCATCGGTAGAAACGAAAGAAATAGCATGTGTAAAAGAGTCAAACGTGCAGTTGGCATAAAGGTCAATTTGTCTCATATTGTGCGTCAATAACACGACACAGAATGCACACCATAGAAATGGTTGGCGTGACAGAACAGCACAATGCACCAGAAGCACATTCATTCGAATATATTAATATGTAGTGCTACTTCGGCAGTTGCTAACATTTTTGTAGAATGTGACGTGCGGCAAACATTAAAGGTACCTTTTACCGTACGCTACACAAACTACTATTTCATTATTGCTTTTACATCGCTTCTGCTGTGCTGTGCTGTGTTGTGCTCTGCTATGCTCTTCATAAAAACAGCCGTTCACCCAAATAATTGTTCTTCAGTCCAATAACAAATAAGCACGTTTCCAGTTGTTAAATAATGGTTTTGTTTTCAACATTGCCGCTCTCTCTGTATTTCGATTCATTCGCTTTCATCGTTTCATACATTACAGCCGAACACTGGTTTTTATTTTTTTTATTTTAATTTGTTTAAATCAACAAAATTAGATGAAAAAGAAGATGACAAAAATATGATATTTTTCACTCAATTGATTCGGCACAGCAGTGATCTCTCTCATTTCACCTGCCGCCAGCCAGGTCAGATGACAGTGAAAAATTTAAATAGAGTCGAAAAATAGGTTCGGAAAAAATGCGGCTATGGCATCGTTAAATTTCTATCAATTTCATTGTTAGACTAGGTTTACTTTTTCTATTGTATGCTTCTAATATATAATCAGATTCGGCATCATCATTGAACATCTTTTCCCATTTGGGTTGCATTCGATAGACCATATAAAATGAAATTGCGCCGTCGGATGAATGGTATGATTACGATGAATATTGCGAAGCTCATCGATAAAATCAGTTTTCAAATACAAGGACAGAAAACTCTATTTATTTATCACAAAAGAAAATAAGCGGCACCTATTTGTCACAACACAGGCATCCACACATATTGATTATCATATATGTTCGATTTATATTCGTTTTTTGAATAGAAGCATAGAAATAGATTTCCTTCGATACCAGCGATTGCATTTGAAACATAGGTCCACTTGAATTTCAGAAATATGCTCTTCTATTATTTGTTGCTTATAAAGAGTCCCCCCATTTGTCATCCTCGTCAATAGATTGCCATACATTTTTTTCGAGGAATTTACATTCTGTGCACACTAAAATTTTGCATAAGTTTAAAGTAGAAAAAAGTGAGCACGATGGAAATCCCTTGTGCACGATGGAAATCATTCACTTTTTTTCGTTTTCTCGTTTGCTTTATCAATAAATGACATCGAATAGAACTCTTAAACTATATAACTGTTTTAATTAAAATCAATTTGAGAGCACGGTACAGATATGGTTGGTTATTTGCAAGAAAAAAAAAAGGACTGAGAAAATCTAATGAATGAGTTCCGAAAAAAGTCTGGAGCCGTCGCATTTTTTTCTCTTTTTTCTATAGGGTTTCGTTTGCGTTTGAATAGCTTTATCTTTTTCTGGATGAAGCCAACCGCAAAAATAGGAATTGAAATGTAATCGAGGTCGTAGTCATCATCGTCGTCGTTGTTGACAACAATACAAATCGAAGCAGTACAAATGGAAAAAGTCTCACCCGAAATACTCGAAATGACTAACCAAAATTGTAAATAGGTTCCGAAAAGGATGCAAAATTGATGAGATTTTCTCCCCATTTTCGAACGACCCCCGAATGAAACGATTTAATTTGGTGGTTGAAAAGAATTTGCTAACATTGATATACGAATGCTCGGCGGAAGACTTTGTCGTCTCTTATGCTCTTATTGAAAGAAACATCGACATGGCTGAAAGATGACAAATCGATAAAGCAATAAAGCAAAAAGCGATCAAAATATAAAGAAACCGATTCTTTTTTATCTGACTTGACTTGCCATCGAAACGAATCGAATTCGTTTTAATTATTGAATTCAAGACAAGATCACAGCCGAAACTCATTCTTGTTTTTTTGCATTTACTTTAAGTTTTTTCTTTTAATATGGTGCCTGATATATGTGCACAGTCGAAAATAGTCATTCAGAAGAATGTCACGAGAGAGGCAATGGATTGAAACAGTCTTCAAAGTGATTTAAGTCATCAGGCAGTGGCAGTGATTGCTCTACGAAAGTTGAACATTTTCAATGTAAATTCAGTATTCAATGTGTACACACGAAGATACAACTTTCGCTCTTAATAATTTGATTTGGTGCATTGCATTGCGATGCAAATAAAAGCGGAGATTGTTATGCTGGATATTGATTTTAAATGCACGGAACTTTTCCAGAGTTGAAACATAACTTCGAATTGGATAGAGAAGAGCTCATGTTTGAAGCATTATTATTTCAAATATGTATTCAATTCAGTTGTACTATATAGTCGTCAACAGACAGCAATTTGTGCTGTGCTTTGCGAAGGCAAATGTCCAATGACAATGGTAAAATTCCGTTGATGAGAAAGAGTAAATGGCCGCAGCAAGAATATGCAAGATAATTTAAAATGAGAATTATGTTACATATTTTATCAAGTCAAACTGAAGGAATGTTCATGTCAATCTGAGAAAGTTGGTTTTATGTCGTGCCATTCGAATGACAAAGCCTTTTACAAAATCCACACATGAACTCAATTCAACGAATTGTAATAGACGGGACCACGTCGTCGTTTCTTGCTTTAAGCTTACGTCTATATGTGTGTGTTTGAGAGCGCATTTACGGAATTGATATTTCCAAGCATTTGGAAAATCTGCAGAACATTTGATATAAACGAGTTAAATGGTCTATTCGTTGTATGTGCCATTAAGATTACAAATGTACTTGAGTTTGGGCGAGTTTTCGAATATATCCACATGTGAAAAATCAAAAGCAAACCAAGCCGGATAAAAACTTCCGTAATGCACGGACTCTTATCCACCCTGTCTCCGTTCATCAAAGGACACAGCAAAATGTAACAGAGTATATTTTTGTATATTAACATAGGAAATAAAAAAAAGCATGCACATAAAGCAAGCTAAACGAAAAATGAGAAATGAAAAGGTTTTCTTTTTCGAGGTAGTTAGATTCGATGTTCCGAGGAGAGTGGAAGAATTTTATAAGACATAATATTGCACATAGCAACCATAACAACGACCGAACCACACATAGCATTCTCTTTATCGAATGTCTCGATACAAAAACTCATACGATTGCGAATGCGAATACGATATACAGAAACCAAACACAAGAACTAGATGTTTTCTAACAAAACACAAACAACAGCGTACATTTTATATTTACAGGAAATATTTGAAATGGGGAAAAAGCGTTTACATAAAAGCTATAACGAAAACGAAGAATAAATAAAAAGAAGAAGAAGAAGAAGAAGTCTTGTGTAAAGATTTTGTACATTATGTATCCCTGAACACATTGTCTGCTGCAAAAGCGAGAGGGAAATCGCAACCGTCAAGTGCGACAAAGAAATCGATAATGAAACATCGAGTCATCGAGCATGTATCCAAGTTTATTTCGTGGAGCTATAATTCAATAGTGCTTATGAAACCACCGCCGTTCCGTTCATCAAACATTGAACCTGAATGACGAAAGCATCGAGTCAGTACACTCCATTCATCAATTGTGTGAAAATGTTAGATAAAATTCTTGCACAGTATGAGCATAGACGATTTATCCGATGGGACAAACTTTGCGAAATTTTTCATTTCAATTTTCATTGGTGTTTGTGAAGCGGAACTGAGCAATAAAATAACACGCACATGACAAACATTCAATTCGACGTGCGTTACGAATTGTGTGTATGTCCGAGCGGGTGGGCGAGCCGAGCCAGTCCCAAACAAAACAAAATGTAACAACAAATAATAAAAGTAATATTGTTAGGCCAGGAAACTTTCTGTGTATATTTTGTCTACAAGTCTACATTTAATCGAAACTCATCCAATCGCCCCTGAAACTTAAAATACACATCATTTTCGCCGAATAAATGTTCCGTTCAATATTACGTTTGGTTGCTTTTTTCGTTGCTACTTGACTACAGGGCTGCCGGTGAATTTGTGCTACGATTCGATGATAAAATACTGTATCGTCGTTTGCTTTACATAAGCACATTACGTCTGCTGATTTTACTTCATTATTTTCTTTTGCAGTTTGTTATTTTTTTTCTCTGTGGTTGTTCTCTCGTTTCGCTGTCATGCTTACTATCGATTGATCAGGGAAAAAAAGTGCACGCTTTCCTAAGTTTGATTTTTTCCCTATATTCTTGGCCATTCTCGGTGTTGTTGTCATGATATCTCCGCATACAGTACGGTCATGCTTTGACGATTTGAATTAGATACATCATGTTTTGTCTACCATCTCTAATGATGTTTGCGATATATATCAGCTCTTGGATTACTCGTTCTCCCCCATCAACGATGGGAGCTGCGTTTCATGAAGATATCGATTCAAAGGAGAAGATATTGCGTGCTAGCGAAAATGAATCAAACAATCGCTCCGCTTGAACAAAATGACGGACCAAATGATAATTCTAACACGCCAACCATTCCAACCAAACTCACGCTGAACACATCTATTGTTCAAATAGTAGTTTTGGTGAGGAAAAAAATGAGAGAGATAGAGAGAGACCCAGAACTTATAGCAATCTGCTAAGCGGTAATGGCAGCATTTTTCTATGAAAACACATAAAATTAAATGGACAAAATCTTGGATGAAAAAGTACGAGAGACTCTGCTTCTCTGATCGGAAAACATAAATGAGAGAGGGTGAGAGAGAGAGACGGTGAAATGGCATGAGCACGAAACACACAAGATGTAATCGTTAATGTGTT